CCCTCGGCCTGGCCTGCACCCTCTCACAATCCAGGACCCCTCGGGGGATATCAGAGAGCTGGTTTCAGCCTGATCCCACAGGCCAGGCTGAGGGACCCCACTGGTGCATGAATTCATGCACCGGGCCTCTAGTTTTATATAAAGAATTTGGCATTCTGACTTAGCTTCTTTCAGAAGAAGCCAATTCTAACCTTATCACATTAGCAGAAAAAAAATTCCAAATGAAAGCTTCTATGACAATAAAGGGTAGAACCTTATAAAGTGGAAAGTAGAAACCACTTGGCTCTTCAGGAAGAGTAAAATTACCTTCTTCTCACTTTGGAATGTTACATTTCATCCTTACTTCAGTAAAATCAGGTAACTCACTGAGAGACTTCATTTCCACCACTTTGATGACTATTTGTAAAACCCAATTTGGCTCAAGATTTTGCTGGTGTTACCAGGCAGATGGAGGTAACTCAGCTTAGACCAAGGGGCGGACACAGGGCCTTCACTTAAACAACTGGTCCGTATTGAACAGTGTCTGCCTGGCCAATACCCAACATCTAAGAGAGCCCATGCCTGGGTTTTTTCCCATGCACTGCAGCCTACTTAATATTTGTTTCCATTTCCCCCATCTTTTCAGGGAAAAAAGAGCACTGGAGGTGGGGAAGGCAGTGGGATCAAATATCGGCCTTTGGATTACTAAAGAAATAAGCATGGTCTGGGGTGTGGGTCAGCTGGACATAGAACTAACATCTACAGAGTTCCTACTATGTGCTGGATGTCTTTTATGTCCTCTCCAATCTGATTTTACCACACCCTTCCCAGATACCTATGATCATCTTCATTTTAATGAGGCTGATCATTTTGATGAGGCTTTGGGGCTCAGAGAGGTGAAGTAAGTTGCCTGAGGTTACACAGCTGATTTCTGACCCAGGTAGAGTTGGTCCTTGAATTGCTTATCCTGTATTCTAAGCCACGCTGAATACCCCAATTTACTCTCTTCTCTGCCTCTGCAGATGTCCCACTGTATACTCTGCAGCACTAATTATATACCCACAGCTCTTGTAATCGAGTAGCAGGTGGATGTTATTAGACACTATGAAGCCAACAGACTTTTCTCAGATCTCAAGCTCTTTCTTAAGCCCCTCACCTAGAATTATGCTGAGTTTGTTCTTCTGTTTGAACCATTCCTACTCTTTCCTCACTGCTTCCCCTTCTTCTTTCTGTTCTAAACGTCTTTGCCAGCCCTCTTTTCCTAATAGGCTCTTCCTCCAGTTTCAACCAGACAGTTAGCCATCTTAAATATGATACCCAAGTTAAAGTAAAAAAGCCTGGACACCTGTACCCTAAATTTACACAATGTCACATGTTAATTATATCTTTTTTTTTTCAAAGCGGGGTGGGGGGCGGGGAGGGAGGAAACCTTGGGGAGCCCAAGTTCGGTTTTAAATCTTCCTTTGCCATATCTGTGCACTGAGTTTACATGCTCTACTGTTCATCTTTCCTACTGTATGCCCTCTGCTTAATCTACTTATAGAGTCCTTTATTGATAACATATCTCTTAAATTTCCTGATATCACTTGTCTGCTCTTTGGTGCTTAATAGGGTCACGGACCACGCTCTTTGATACTCTTTATACTCTAGAATGATATGAAATCGTTTTTGCTTTTTACTTCCCAACTTTGTCTGGACTTTTACAGCCTTTGGTATTTGCCATTCCATTCTTGCAAATATTTCCACTTAGAGAGATAGGGTAGAGATGAAGTCATGTACTTAGCAAGTTTTAATCAAGTGTTTACTATGTGCCAGCAATATTCTAGGGATGCTGCAGTAAACAAAATAGGCAAGAATTCCATGGAGTTTAGATTCCAGGGGAAGGAGAGAGAGACAATGAACATAATAAATTAAATAAGTGGCATGTCAGAGAGTGATTAGTACCCTGAGGGAAAATAAAGCCCAACTGGGAGAAGGGCAGTGGTGGACAGAGGGATTATAATTTTAAATAAGGTTTATTTAAAAAAAAAATTAAGCCCTGACCAGTTTGGCTCAGTGGCTAGAGCGTCGGCCTGTGGCCTGAAGAGTCCCAGGTTCGATTCTGGTCAAGGGCATGTACCTTGGTTGCGGGCACATCCCCAGTAGGGGGTGTGCAGGAGGCAGCTGATCCATGTTTCTCTCTCATGGATGTTTCTAACTCTCTATCCCTCTCCCTTCCTCTCTGTAAAAAATCAGTAAAGTATATTAAAAAAAAAAAAATAAGGCCCAAAGTTGGGAATGGGAAGGGGTTTCATTAGTTATAAAAGCAGCTTTGCTGGTAAGTAAGTTTTGAAGAAGAAGTTTATGGAGAAGTAAGTTTGAGAATTTAGAAAGTCATATTTTTCATTATTCATAAACTAAAATGCAGCAAAAACACTACAATATAGCATCCAGTTTAAATTATGTGACCGCTTTCAAAGGCTATTTACCATGTTATCTTCTCTATGTCAGTTAGAGGTGTCTTCAAGTCTCATAAGAGAAGAATGAGAAAAGGGTAAAAATAAAAGAGGCTTGTTCACATTGGTAAAAAGGAGGCCAGTGTTTGATTTCAAAAGAATATGAGAGTGAGTGTGTCCTAGGCAGAGGGTGTGGGCAGGTTGTTCTTGGGAATTGCTGATAAAAAACAAGCAATTAATTTAATTGAATATGGAGGATTTTAAGGTAGAAACAACATAAGATGTATGCTAGAATAAAATCTTTTCCTGGCTGTTTAGTAATAGGATAAAAGGAAAGGCCAGACTTCTAAAATACTCTGGGCTACTAACTCCTCGGTTAGAGAGAAATTAAAGGAGAAATGAAAGTAGCAGAAAACAAAGCATTTGATAAATGTCTTTAAATAGTATTCACAAAATAAATATATTATTTCTTTAACTTACTAATGCAGAAATCACTGCTGGGATTTTAAGAGCTAGGAAGTCCTGAGGAAATGGTGTACACAGTCTCAGAGTGATTGTGGGGTTTTGACCCCGTGAGTTAGGGGACTTGCCCAGGCCTCTTCCTGTTTTCTTAAGACGCCCAAGCAAGTCAGGTTAACTTTCCCAAGAATTCAGACACAGATCTCTGTTTTACAGACTGGGAAGTGAAACCGAAGTTACCAAGAAAGACTTTCAGAAAGCAATGATTAAAACTCCAACCTCCCTGACCCAGATCGCTGTCTTAGATCACTTATCTATGATCTAAAGGAGAAAATGTGTGTTATCTCAGCAATACTTGGGCAGTTAATAATCTGCAAGAGAGAAGCCTTTACTAACGAATACATTGATGTTTGTTTGTTTGTTTGTTTTTAACCAACCAGTTAGTGCTCACCATAACAAGTTGGGAAATGATATGGAGAGCTTCTGATTTGGGATTTCAACGAGATAGTTAACAACTAGGGCTGCAGAGATAGGAGTCTATATTTAAGGTCATAAAAGTGTAGCATCTAAAAGACTAGATACACTCTCGTAAGACGGTTGACTAGTGGGTTCCTTGCGGAGGCAGCTGAATGACCACCAGGCTGATGCAGGTCCATGAATGTTTGGGGTCACCAGCTCTCTGGGAGGCTGGAGGATTCGTGCATGTGTGCAGCCAGGAGAAGCCGTGTGGAGCAGGGCTGAAAACCAGGTTTTGCTTTTGTTGTCTTCCTTTTACATTTTTAAATGTGGCATTTTAACCTGACATATGTATTTACATTTTAATCTGCTTTTCCTTCCCTTTCAAACTTTCCTTTAGATCTGGTTTCCACTAATCTTCTTATCTTCTAATCAGGATTGTTTTATAGATTTATTTCTTTATTTTGTAGCTTAAAGCTTTGTTTTCTTCTCCTGTTTTGCCTTCCCAAGTTATCCTGTTTCATCCTCCTTAATTTGGATTGTTCCTGCCTATGTCTCCACTCATCCTGAAAAGTTGTCATCCTCCATCTCGACCTATCTAGTTTCACCTCCTTGAAAGTGTAGAACAAATCCTGGCTTCATTATGTTGACAGTCTTGATTTCGTGTTATATTTTCTTGTATCTCTGTTAATTCCTTGACGAGGCTGGAACTAGGCCTCTGCTAGTTCTCTAGAATGTACAGAGTAGAGCTAGAGAGGGTAAAAGTTAACATTTATTTAAGTGCCTAGCAATTGCCTGGAATTGTTAAATGCTAGTTGTAAGTCATAAGGAATATTCACTTCCTATTGACTATCTATATCTATATCTATAGAGAGAGAGAGAAAGAGAGAGAGAGAGAGAGAGATAATTGTTTGGTTTTTGTTTTTTTATTAATCCTCACCCAAGGATATTTTTTCCATTGACTTTTAGAGAGAGGGGAAGGAGAGGGAGAGACAGAGAAACATTGATGTAAGAGAGACACATTGATTGGTTGCCTCCCGAATGTGCCCTGCCTGGGGCCAGAGATCGAGTCTGCAAACAAGGTATGTACCCTTGACTGGACTAGAACCCAAAACTCTTCAATCCATGGGCCAATGCTCTAATCACTGAGCAACCGACTAGAACCCATTGACTATATATTAATAAGTAGTTTAATTGAGCACCATTTTGAGCACGTTTTCTGAACCCCCTCAGGGATAGTTAACTAAGTTTGCATTTGGGTTTTTAGATTTTTCCCCATTTACTTATTATTGCCATACTGTTTGATAATAGAAGAGAATTTTCATTTAAACTTTAAAAAAATTCTCTTCTATTATCAAACAGTATGGCAATAATTTAAATTCTTCTTCCTATTAGATTTCTTGGCATGAAACGAGCAAAATACTGCCAGGCATTAAAACACTAGATGTTATTATTTAAAAATAAAAAATGTCAAAGTAATATAGACATATACTTTGAGAATTATTTTTCAGAATTTGTACATTTTCATTAATTTTTCTCAAAAACGTGAAGTTCTCCTCCTGGTGTTATACCCACAGACTTATTTGTGAGTTGAGTCTATAACGTGTTTCCATCGGGAGGGGGAGCACAGAGCTGTGACCCGGCTGCTGAAGATCGCTGGGTCTTGTTTTTCAGGTGGTTGGCAACACGACCTCTGGAAGCTACAGTTACAGCATCCAGAAGAGCCTGGCTTTTGCATACGTCCCTGTAGAGCTGAGTAAGGTGGGACAACAAGTGGAAGTTGAACTACTAGGCAAACATTACCCAGCAATCATCATTCAAGAACCCTTGGTATTGACGGAACCAACCAGAAACCGACTTCAGAAAAAAGGTGGAAAGGACAAAATTTGAAAAAGACCTTCAGCAGTCAACTGAATTATGGTTGCTACATGACTGTACTCAAAATTATAATTGATTTGTGGGAACAGGAAACCAAGGATTCATTTCAAAATCATCAAAATCCAGATTTAGAATCTTAAAATCTTTCTCCTGTTTCCTCAGCAAGATAGAATAATTGATTAGTGCTTGCCATTGTTGTTTCAAATGAAGAAATTGGAAATGACCATTTTTATTATCCTATATTGTTTCTTATAAAATTCAATCAGTAAAATATCTTGGCATTTGCTAATTAATATACAATCATTGTTACAACAGAATTAAAAGAATTAGCAGAATTTTAGGAACATATACATATGGTTTTTATTAGATGAAAACAAATTAATAAATTATGTTTTACATAAAAACAAATGCAATACTGTTAATGGATTTACTGCATTGAGAAATATTTTCTTAGTTGATAAGGAATAATTTTAATTTCTCATAATATATCTTTGTTGAAAATAGTATAATTTTATATTAATATATTACATTTTATTCAGTTCTCTGAAATATTTATTTTCTTAATAACTTCCCTGAAAGCAGCTTTATGGGACATTATTATTGTCCTTTCAAAGGTTGTTTTAGAAGAGAAATTGCAAAAAAAAAGAACAGTCTTTCAAAGGAAGCAATACTTGTAAACCTTCTGAAATGAAGCTGAAATATAACAGAATTAAAAGAATTAGCAGAATTTTAGGAACATATACATATGGTTTTTATTAGATGAAAACAAATTAATAAATTATGTTTTACATAAAAACAAATGCAATACTGTTAATGGATTTACTGCATTGAGAAATATTTTCTTAGTTGATAAGGAATAATTTTAATTTCTCATAATATATCTTTGTTGAAAATAGTATAATTTTATATTAATATATTACATTTTATTCAGTTCTCTGAAATATTTATTTTCTTAATAACTTCCCTGAAAGCAGCTTTATGGGACATTATTATTGTCCTTTCAAAGGTTGTTTTAGAAGAGAAATTGCAAAAAAAAAAGAACAGTCTTTCAAAGGAAGCAATACTTGTAAACCTTCTGAAATGAAGCTGAAATATAAATAGGTTGTGCCAGTACAAACACAGTTTGAATACTGAACACCTCTCTTTGGGAAAGAATTAATGCAAGTTGACATCACTCTGTGCTGTTCTGAATATCATTTCACAAAGTATTTGACAAATCAGGTCAAACAAGAGCTTAAAAGTTGTGTACAGCAAGAAAACAAATTCATTTAGAAATGCATCTTTGATATACTTCTTGAAATTATTTGGCTTTAGTTGACTGAGTAAGTCACATTTTTTATAAAAGGTAGTTGATCATTTATAATTTATTATATACTTATTACACATTTATTGAACTTTTCTTAGGTATTCAAAAAAGCGTGATAAGATTCTGTAATTATTACACATTTTCAAATAATTTCTTACAAGTTTTGAAAAGGTGTCAAGTTTGCATTTTAAGTGTTTCATAACAGTAATTATATATTAGAACACCTCAACATGCCATTTATTTCTCTTTGGAATGTCCTCTTAAATAAGAAAAGGAGGAAATCCTCTTGGTAACAAACATTTCCTAATTATCAAGCATTATCCAGACCTTATATCTTAGTTCTGGTATTAGGTGCTGGTTAATGATGTTGAATGGGAATCAAGAGATCCCTATTCTCATTTTCTGCCTTTCTGTAGCCCTGTAACCTTGGGATATTCACTTACTATCTCTGAATTCCTCTTCTGCAAGATAGGCTCTTCTAGGTTCTTTTTTTTTTTACACTATAATAACAAGAGGCAATAATGAAAGTACAGCATTGAATTCATGTCATGCAGTTAATAGAGCACTAAAACAAATCAATAAAAGAATGGAATGTTGAGATGAATATTAAACATTTAAAGAAACCCTATCCACAGTATATAAAAGAAATTTACATCCTGATTTCCTTCAGAAGTTGCCCCATTCCTTCTTTGTTATGTGTTAGGTGCTATTTGGTTTTTCAGGTCACCCTAGCACCCCACTTCCACCCAGCCAGTGTGTGGCCTAGGTTTGACCTATGACCTACAAATAACTTGGCAATGGAAAGATGAGCCAAGTTAACCAGATTTTTCTCCGAATAAATTTGAACTGTGAACCCCCAGAGAGTAAACTGATCAGCACTAAAAGCTGGAGATGAAAAGATATGTGGAAAGAGAAGCCTTGGAGCCTTGGGCAAGGTGAGCTCCTGACAAGCAGAGGGGCCCTGAGTGGGACGGAGAGAGTGAAAGACCCGTCCTTACAGCTCTCACTCCCGACTGCTAGCAGCCAGTTCTTAGGTGAGAACCCTGACTCAAAAGAGCCTCCTAAAACCCGCAGCTTCTGGGAGGTGAACCATGTACTCAGGCCTCAAAGGCGTGGGCCCAGGACTAGTGTCGGCTGTGAACAGCAAACACCTGGCATGCCTGAAAGCACCCTAGAGTCTGCGGGAGCTGTGTCTACAGCTTAGAAAAAAGTTCTCAAGGATATGATGGCGAATGACGGACACTTGCTTCTCTTGAGCTTGGAAAGCTTCTTGGAACTGTCAAAGCATTTCCAGTCCACACATTCTCAAAATGTTTATGGATGTTATGTTACTAATGGTCACATCCAAACTAACCTGTCTTTATCCTTTTCTACAGATAGGAAAGGTGACAGAAAAAAATATTTTAAAGTAAGCTGTGTGGGACATTGAATAGGAGACAGATTAGATTTGGGAATTTTAGTGTGAGGATTTTGTGCATATTTGAATTGAGCAAAAAGAAAGGTGGACATTAGGGAACACATCAGCTATGAAAAGAAGAAAGTTTCAATTGGGAAATAGCATCCTTTAGCCAAGGTCTCAAAAAAGCAGGGAACCAAAAATTCAGTTAATTATCCTTTTGTCTGATGATCTTCATATAAAAATTAAAATGATCATCCTGTCTTCTCTCTGCCATCAGTGAATCTTTAGAATAGGCCAGTAGTTTATAGATACTACATTATCTATACTAATAAAAGGGTAATATGCTAATTAGACTGGATATCTTCCGGACATTCTTCCAGACATCCTTCCAGACAAAGCCACGGTGGTGGGGGCCGAGGCAGAGGTGGTTAGGGGCAATCAGGCTGGCAGGGGAAAGCAGTTGGGGGTGAGATCAGGCTGGCAGGGGAGGGCCAAGGCAGATGCCAGCGGTGGCCCCCTGATTGTCCCTCCAGTTACCCTGCAGAGGGAGGCGACCAGCGGCAGTGGTGGGGGCTTGGCCATCCAGTGGGCGGCGCCAGGCCGGCCAATGTGGGTGCCAGCAGGGGCTCCCTAGTTGCCCCACCGGTTTCCCTACAGATCGGCTCTGATCACCGGCCAGGCCCAGGGACCCTACCCATGCATGAATTTTGTGCACCGGGCTTCTAGTATATAATAGAAATGTATGATAGATTTTCTGATAAGGATATTTCAGTGGAAAAATTTTAACTAAGAGATATTTGAAAGTTACTATGATTGTTCCCAAGGGAACAGAGATGTAGACAGTACTGCAATTTCTGGAGTTTGTTGTTAAAGGACATTTTTATGAATCTCTGCCAAACTTATCATTATGTTAAAGTCTTTTTCTAATTACTGGTACATCTGTTGGTCATGTAAAAGAAGCTTTAGAAATTAAAAGCTTTAAATGTTCTGCAATCAACTATGTGCAAAGATAACTGGACAAATCTGGCTCTGCCATCTATTAAACATTAATATATGAAGAAGATTCATTTCAGTGAAGTCACTGCAAAGCTTAAGGCTTAAAAACAGAAAAGGTGACTTTATTACTTACAGCCAGTAGACCAATTTATCACAACAGCTCAATATGTAGATATATTTCCCTTTTTAAAAAAACATTAATTTTGCCCAGCCAGCATGGCTCAGTGGTTGAGTGTTGACCTATGAACCAGGAGGAAATGGTATAATTCCTGGTCAGGGCATATGCCCAGGTTGTGGTCTCAGTCCCCAGTGTGGGGCATATAGGAAGCAAGTGATCAATGATTCTCTCTCATCATTGATGTTTCTATCTCTCCTTTTCCCTTCCTCTCTGAAATCAATTCAAATATATTTTAAAAAACATTAATTTAAAAATATTAACCTCTTGCTTTTTTGTACCAAAGTATTTATTTTATGTCTATTTTTCTTATTCATTTGTTGTTGTTTCTTACTATTATAGGAGAATATTTTCACCCTTTAAATTTCTCTTCTGGTCATTATTATTCATTTTATTTCATAATGATTACTAAAAAATAGTTGTGTCATATGAAAAAGGTAGGGTTTTTTAAAAAGTGATCCTCACTTAATCTGGTCATCTCACTAGCTAAGATGGCTGCTTCATTCACATGTCTGGCTTTTCACCAAGGGTGACTGTAACAGCTGGGGCTGGCAGAGTTTGTCTCTCCATGGGCCTCTCCATGTGACTAACTTCTCACAGGTAGGTCAAAGGAGGGAACTTAACCTGGAGAACCAGGAAGGAATGCCCTGAGGGGCTGCCAAGGTGATATTGGACCATAGACAGAGGAGCTGCCAGTGGGAGCTGGAACCACAGAAGAGATACAGCTATGCTGCTGAAGATGCTACCCAAAGCAGAATGAATGGAAGTAACACCCTGACTTCTCTCTTCCTCCCATTCTCCCGGCTCTTACCAGCACCTCCCATTTGCTGAACCTAACTGGAGCTAAGGAGGTAAAGGAGCCTGGGACATGTAGTTTATAGGATTTGACCTCTCCTGTGATACAGAGCAGAGCAGAGCAGAGGAAGATCGTGAAATGGATTATATAGCAATAGACAATGACCATCGTACAACACAAACATAATCCGTTCAGCCCTGGCCAAAGGGGTCAGGTCAAGAGATGCAAACATGTCTACTTAGGATGGAGGGAAGTTGTGGCATGGCCTAATACACTAGTATTTCTAGGAGGTGTTGAGACTTACTTTTCGCTGTATGCCTCTTTAACTTAACATTTTAAAAAACTATGTACACGTTTCACTTTTTAAAAGCTATGTATATATAAAACTTTCTTATCTAGCAAGAATAGATTCTTACCTTCTTGGTCATACATATGACTATTTTAAATACAGTGGTCACATTGGTTGAGATATTTAAGCATGATTGAAAAGAGCTTAGAACTGCTTAAGAAATTGGTGTATGATGTAAAAAGTTCAGTACAGAAAACATGAATACAATTCAGTTGTATATAATAAATATTGTGTGAACATGAAGGCTTAGGTTGTGTGAAAAGGAAGGAGAAGGAATGAAGAAGTGAGACAAAGTGCAACAGCAACATCCTGTTTCTTGATCTGTTAACTTGGTGGTTACATGGGTGCGTTCACTTTCTGAGAATCCATTGACTGATGTGCACTTTTGTGTGA